ACTGATTTTCATTCCTTACATACTCGGTACATTATTTGTACTAATGTTCCTTTTGCCTGGGGATGCTGCGTTTCATGCTCGCAGGTCCTGATAGATAGGTCGAGAGTCCTCCAAATAGGCTATTAGCTTAGCGGAAGGTGTTGGTGCGCTTCATTTGCTCTGGAGTTGCTTCTTTGATTAGTATGATAAGTGCATGTATTGATTGGTATGGCGGGATCATGTCCCGACCTTTATGATATTATATATTCTTAGAGTCTTGTAGACAGATGTCATATATATGGATACTTGTATGGCCTTGTCGGCCTATGTTTTGAGTATATAAAGAATCATGCTGGCCTTATAGGCCCATACTTCATATGTATAAGTCTGTATTCCCTCATGATTTATTCCGGTTCATTTATCTATGATATAATGATATGAAAGATATGTTATGTTGTTACTCGGTTGAGTAAGGTATTGAGTGCCGGTTGTGGCCCATCAGTTTGGGTCGTGACAGGTCCAGCGATATCCATCCCCCACTTCATGAATGGCCATGGAGACAAACCGAGTTTGATGGTTCTGTTAGTTGATGTACCAACAACGTGTAGCATTGACACTTATCGTATTTTTTAACAAAAGCTTTAGCGTATTTCTCCATTCGGGGCCAGTAATATCCTTCCCTTACCAACTTTAACAAAAGCATTGACAAACCGAATGATTTCAATATTAGTACAGTTGAATTTATATGTGGTTTATAGACAAGTGAATTAACTTGATCCTGAAATAATAGATGAATTGGATAAAATTGTAATATCTAGCCTTGAAATGGAGACAAAATGATAGAAATAATAGTTCCGGGAGCGGGGCTTCCGGGCACAACAACAATGAAATCAAGAAGCAATAAGACAAAATTATATTAAGCTTTGAACAGAATGAGCTTATTTTGCTAGAAAATCTGTATCCTTTACAATGATAATAGATCTCACTCTTTATAGTTGCACCTAGGGAACAAGGTCCTAGGATCAAGCTCTAATCTAATGTAAATTATGAGGGCCATTGAAGAATGTGTAATAGCGGGCATGAATGCCATATTCTTTTATAACAGGCAGTGTAATAAATGTTATAGAATATTCTTCATTAAATGCTACCGAGTGGTAAACATTTATTTCATCTTTATGAGTATCATTATTTCTGGTAACATACGAAATCATTGCCTTCAGTTTCATCCATCCTCTATCTTCGACTCCACGTGTCACTTTCTCATACGATCATTTAATATTCCATATTTTACCCCATAGGGCTTGATCCTTCGTTACGTATTATTGCATATGTTCCTCTTTGGCTTCAAAGATCATGTAAACCTAATTCACCACTAGCTGGGAGTCACATTTGATTTCTATGACCTCGAAATCTAGTCATCAGGCCAATTCGAGTCCTGCAATCAAAGCTTCATACTCCGCTTTATTGTTAGTCAGAGGAACCATTCTTATGGCTTGTCTTAGGGTTTCTCCTGAAGGCATGGTCAATAGTATGCCAAGCCTGGACTCTTTTACGTAGGAAGATCCATTCTTACATAGGTTCCAAACTATTGATGTCGATTCTGACACCATCATTACTTCTTTGGTAGCCAGAAGTAACAATCCTGGACCAAAATCGGCCACAAAGCTGGCCGAAACTTGTGACTTAATCGCAGTTCTAGTTTATATTCTATGTCAAATTAACTCATTTTGAAGGCCCACTTGGCTAGCTTACTCGAAAGTTCGGGTTTATGAAGGATATTCTGCAGGGGAAAGGTAGTGACTACCACTATCAGGTGACATTGGAAATAAGGCATTAGATTTCGAGCGGCGACTACAAGAACTAAGGACAACTTCTTCAAATGCGGGTAGCGAGTTTCTGTTCCTGTTAAGATTCTACTAATGTAATAAATTGGAGATTGCGTACCTTTGTCCACATGGACTAAAACGGTGCTTACCGCTACTTCTAAGACCGCTAAGTAGATTAATAATTTTTTGCCTTCCTCTGTCTTTGATAATAACAGAGGACTTGACAAGTAGCTTTTTCAAATCCTTTAAGGCCTGATGATATTCCGGAGTCCATTCGAAGTTATTCTTCTTCTTGAGTAAGAAAAAGAAATGATGGCATTTTTCTGAAGACCAGGAAATGAACCTGCTCAAAGAGGCCAATCTCCCCACAAGCCTTTGAACTTCTTTACGCTCGATAGTTGGTCCGGAATGTCTTCGATGACTTTTATTTTGTCGGGTTAACTTCAATTCCTCTTTGTTATACTAGGAATCCCAAAAACTTACCGGAACTGACACCGAACGCTCACTTCTTAGGGTTAAGCTCCATATTATGCTTCCTCAAGATGTCAAAAGTCTCTTGCAAGTGTTTGAGATGATCATATGCATTCAAAGACTTAACAAGCATATCGTCTATACAGACTTCAATGGTTTTCCCTACTTATTTTTCATACATTTTATTTGCGGGCCGCTGGTAAGCGGCTCCGATGTTTTTTAGTCCGAAGGGCATCATATTATAGCAATATGTGCCGAAATTTGTTATGAATGAAGTTTTTTTTCTGATCCTCCGGTTTTATCTTAATTTGGTTGTACCCGGAGCAAGCATCGAGAAAACTCATTAACTCATGCCCGATGGTTGCATCAATCATTTAATCAATGTTTGACAATGGGAACGAGTCCTTTGGGAATGTCTTATTCAAGTCCTTATAGTCTACGCACATGCGAAATTTATTATTCTTCTTTGGAACTACTACTACGTTAGCTGCCAGTCTGGATACTTTACCTCTCGGATTGAACCGATATCAAGTAGGCGAGTTACCACCTCTTTGCTGAATTTGTTTTTGACCTCGACAATAGGACATATTTTTTTGTCTTATCGGAGGAATGTTGGGATCCAAGCTTAGCTTATGTACAGCTATTTCCGTCGGGATACGTGTCATATCTGCATGCTACCATGCAAAACATCGGTATTAAATATAAGAAATTCAATAAACCCATACCTGAGCTCGGGGTGCACTCATGTCCCCAAGTGGAATTCCTCTCCAAAAACTTTTCGAACAATACGACTTGCTCAAGCTCTTCCGCTGTGGACTTTGTTGCATCCATTTCGTTTGGTACCTGGGAATACCTTGGCACATCATAAGATTTTGACACCTCTTCTCCCCAACTGACTTGATTCGGGAGCTGGCGTCGGGTCCTGTAAGTGCTATGCCGCATGCTCTTTCCCTTTACTACTGGAGACCGAAATTGCATTAATCTCCCTTGTTGCCGGTTGGCCGCCCCTTATTTGTTTGATTTACTCGGGAGTTGGGAATTTAAGCAACTGGTGATATGTCGATGGCACAACTTTCATCACATGCAACCATGGTCTTCCCAGGATAATATTGTAGCCCATATCACCATCCAATACCTCAAAAAGGGTCGTCTTCATCACCCCTTCGACATTCATGGGTAGCAGAATCTCTCCTCCGATTGTCATGCTCGCTAGGTTGAACTCGACAAGGAGCTTTGTGGCCGGAATGATGCTTTTGGTAAGTTTGACTTGCTCCATTACCCTCCATTGTATAATATTGGCCGAACTCCCTAGATCCACCAAAACACGTTTGATTTTAAAATCTAATACATTTAAAGAAATTACCAATGCATCATTGTATGGAAGCAACAATACGTCTACGTCTTCCTCCGTTAAAGTGATGTGATCTTCAGCGACTTCCCGGAGTCTCTTGCTGTAGGTTACTGATACCTTCGTCTTTTTTGCTATCGAGAAGGTAACCCCGTTAATCTCGTTCCCCCAAAAAATTATGTTGATCGTTAGGTGCGGGGGATCTTCTCCTTCTTTTGAGCTCTTCCTGTCATCACGATTGCGACAATAATTGTTCTTAGCATGGTCACTTAAGAATTCCCTGAGATGGCCATTTTTCAGTAGTGTCACCACCTCTTAACGCAGATGTCAGTAGTCCCGAGTTCAGTGACCGTTTGTCCCGTGGTATTCGCACTATAAATTAAGATCCCTCTAGCTGGGATCAGATCTCATTAGCTACGGGAACCGTGCTTCTTTAATGTTTCTCACAGCCGATACCAACTCTACTATGCTGACTTTGAAGTTATATTTGGAAAGTCTGGGGTAGGAAGAATCTCAAGAACTCGAAGTTTCCTTGTCCTGTAACAACCTATTACTCTAGCCGCGATCAATTCTTCTATCGATCACGAACCTATCCGCCAACCGAAAACCTTTGCCGCATTTTTCGGCCTATTCATAGGGCAAAAATCGGCTCCTTGAAGACCATCGATCTGTGTCGAAATCATCTTTTGATTTCTCCTTGTTCTTCTCTCGACCCTTAACCGACATTGGAAAATCGAGCTACTCATCCTCAATCCTTATTTTTGAAGAACTACGTACAGTCCTTATAGTCTACGCACATGCAAAATTTATTATTCTTCTTTGGAACTACTACTACGTTAGCTGCCAGTCTGGATACTTTACCTCTTGGATTGAACCGATATCAAGTAGGCGAGTTACCACCTCTTTGATGAATTTGTTTTTGAACTCGACAATAGGACATTTTTTTTGTCTTATCGGAGGAATGTTGGGATCCAAGATTAGCTTATGTACAGCTATTTCCGTCGGGATACGTGTCATATCTGCATGCTACCATGCAAAACAATCGGTATTAAATATAAGAAATTCAATAAACCCATACCTGAGCTCGGGGTGCACTAATGTCCCCAAGTGGAATTTCCTCTCCAAAAACTTTTCGAACAATGCGACTTGCTCAAGCTCTTCCGCTATGGACTTTGTTGCGTCCATTTCGTTTGGTACCTAGGAATACCTTGGCACATCATAAGATTTTGACACCTCTTCTCCCCCAACTAACTTGATTCGGGAGCTGGCATCGGGTCCTGTAAGTGCTACGCCGCATGCTCTTTCCCTTTACTACTGGAGACCGAAATTGCATTAATATCCCTTGTTGCCGGTTGGCCGCCCCTTATTTGTTTGATTTACTTGGGAGTTGGGAATTTAAGCAACTGGTGATATGTCGATGGCACAACTTTCATCACATGCAACCATGGTCTTCCCAGGATAATATTGTAGCCCATATCACCATCCAACACCTCAAAAAGGGTCGTCTTCATCACCCCTTCGGTATTCATGGGAAGCAAAATCTCTCCTCCGATTGTCACGTTTGCTAGGTTGAACTCGATAAGGAGCTTTGTGGTCGGAATGATGCTTCTAGTAAGTTTGTCTTGCTCCATTACCATCCATTGTATAATATTGGCCGAACTCCCTAGATCCACCAAAACACGTTTGATTTTAAAATCTAATACATTTAAAGAAATTACCAATACATCAATGTATGGAAGCAACAATCCATCTACGTCTTCTTCCGTTAAAGTGATGTCATCTTCATCGACTTCCCGGAGTCTCTTGCGGTAGGTTACTGATACCTTCATCTTTTTTGCTATCGAGAAGGTAACCCCGTTAATCTCGTTCCCCCAAAAAATCATGTTGATCGTTAGGCGCGGGGGATCTTCTCCTACTTTTGAGCTCTTCCTGTTATCACGATTGCGACAATAATTGTTCTTAGCATGGTCACTTAAGAATTCCCTGAGATGGCCATTTTTCAGTAGTATCACCACCTCTTAACACAGATGTCAGTAGTCCCCAGTTTAGTAACCGTTTGTCCCGTGGTATTCGCACCATAAATTAGGATCCCTCTAGCTGGGATCAGATCTCATTGGCTTCGGGAACCGTGCTTCTTTAATGTTTCTCATAGCCGATACCAACTCTACTATGCTGACTTTGAAGTTATATTTGGAAAGTCTGGGGTAGGAAGCATCTCAAGAACTCGAAGTTTCCTTGTCCTGTAACAACCTATTACTCTAGCCACGATCAGTTCTTCTATCGGTCACGAACCCATCCGCCAACCAAAAACCTTTGCCGCATCTTTCGACCTATTCATAGGGAAAAAACCAGCTCCTTGAAGACCATCAATCTGTGTCGAAATCATCTTTTGATTTCTCCTTGTTCTTCTCTCGACCCTTAACCGACGTCGGAAAATCGAGCTGCTCATCCTCAATCCTTATTTTTAAGGAACTACTTATAGTCCTTATAGTCTACGCAAATGTGAAATTTATTCTTCTTCTTTGGAACTACTACTACGTTAGCTGCCAGTCTGGATACTTTACCTCTCGGATTTAACCGATATCAAGTAGGCGAGTTACCACCTCTTTGATGAATTTGTTTTTGACCTCGACAATAGGACATTTTTTTTGTCTTATCGGAGGAATGTTGGGATCCAAGCTTAGCTTATGTACAACTATTTCTGTCGGGATACGTGTCATATCTGCATGCTATCATGCAAAACAATCGATATTAAATATAAGAAATTCAATAAACCCATACCTGAGCTCGGGGTGCACTCATGTCCCCAAGTGGAATTTCCTCTCCAAAAACTTTTCGAACAATACGACTTGCTCAAGCTCTTCTGTTGTGGACTTTGTTGCGTCCATTTCTTTAGGTACCTGGGAATACCTTGGCACATCATAAGATTTTGAAACCTCTTCTCCCCAACTGACTTGATTCAGGAGCATGCGTCGGGTCCTGTAAGTGCTATGCCGCATGCTCTTTCCTTTTACTACTGGAGACTGAAATTGCATTAATCTCCCTTGTTGCCGGTTGGTCGCCCCTTATTTGTTTGATTTACTCGGGAGTTGGGAATTTAAGCAACTGGTGATATGTCGATGGCACAGCTTTCATCACATGCAACCATGGTCTTCCCAGGATAATATTGTAGCCCATATCACCATCCAACACCTCAAAAAGGGTTGTCCTCATCACCCCTTCGGCATTCGTGGGCTGCAGAATCTCTCCTCCGATTGTCACGCTTGCTAGGTTGAACTCGACAAGGAGCTTTGTGGCCAGAATAATGCTTCTGGTAAGTTTGGCTTGCTCCATTACCGTCCATTGTATAATATTGGCTGAACTCCCTAGATCTACCAAAACACGTTTGATTTTAAAGTCTAATACATTTAAAGAAATTACCAATGCATCATTGTATGGAAGCAACAATCCATCTACGTCTTCCTCCGTTAAAGTGATGTCATCTTCAGCGACTTCTCGGAGTCTCTTGCGGTAGGTTATTGATACCTTCATCTTTTTTTCTATTGAGAAGGTAACCCTGTTAATCTCATTCCCCCAAAAAATCATGTTGGTCGTTAGGCGCGGGGGAACTTCTCCTGCTTTTGAGCTCTTCGTGTTATCACGATTGCGACAATAATTGTCCTTAGCATGGTCACTTAAGAATTCCCTGAGATGGCCATTATTCAGTAGTGTCACCACCTGTTAACGCAGATGTTGGTAGTCCCCGGTTCAGTGACCGTTTGTCCCGTGGTATTCGCACCATAAATTAGGATCCCTCTAGCTGGGATCAGATCTCATTGGCTTTGGGAACCGCTTCTTTAATGTTTCTCATAGCCGATACCAACTCTACTATGATGACATTGAAGTTATATTTGGAATGTCTGGGGTAGGAAGAATCTCAAGAACTCGAAGTTTCCTTGTCCTGTAACAACCTATTACTCTATCCGCGATCAGTTCTTCTATCGGTCACGAACCTATCCGCCAACCAAAAACCTCTGCCGCATCTTTCGAGCTATTCATAGGGAAAAAACCGGCTCCTTGAAGACCATCGATCTGTGTTGAAATCATCTTTTGATTTCTCCTTATTCTTCTCTCAACCCTTAACCGACGTCGGAAAATCGAGCTGCTCATCCTCAATCCTTATTTTTGACTCGTACCGATTGTAAAGATCTGCCCAAGTTGTCTCTTGGAATTCAAGAAAACTTTTTTTCAATTTTCGAGAAGCAACGGAACTCCTCGGATTTAATCTTTTGGTGAATGCTTCAGCCTCCCATTCATTCGGAATGGACGGCAGCAACATCTTTTCCTTCTAGAACCGGGTTACAAATTCCTGCAGTAACTCGGACTCTCCTTATGCAATTATGAAAATATCGGCCTTTCGAGCCTATTCCTTTCTGGCCCTGGCATGGGCCTTAATGAAAGAGTCTACAAGCATCTCAAAAGAATCTATGGAATGCTCGGACAAAAGCGAATACCGCATTTAGGATCCCTTCGTGAGAGTCTCTCCGAATTTCTTTAGCAACACTGATTCAATATCGTGGGGAGCTAAATCATTCCCCATTCGCCGTTGTTTTATAGGTGGTGATATGCTCCTGAGGATCTGAAGTCCCATCATATTTCGGCAGGTCCGACATTTTAAACCGCTTCGGAATCAATTCTGGTGCCACTCTTTCTTTGTACGGCAATTAAGTAGACTTCTTTGAGTCTAGCCCATTCAACACTAGTGGTGCACCCGGGATTTGGTCCATGCGGGCGTTCACTTCCCTCATAAACCGTATGAGTTCATTTTTAAAGGGATCTCTCCCGTTGTTATTAACAGATCCGCTCCCCCCGGCCCCATCGAAGCCGACTCGCCCCTTGGGTGTTGTTGTCGACCCTCTGCGTTTTTTATTTTTGAGAGCACTGGGAGTAATTGGGCCTCGCACGTTTGCATTATTGGAAGCACCCGATAACACATGCTTTAGTTCTGTCATTACCTTATCATGTCGTGTGAGATGACCTAGAATGGCCTCTTGTTGCTCCTGCAGGACCCTTACCACTTCGTCAACGTGGATCATCAGGAGTCGCTTCTCGAACATGTTGCAAGTATTGCCTTCCATGGACTGGCGTGGCCTCGTTCCCCTCGCTGCGGGTATCGATGATCGAATCCTCATATTGAGGGTGATTTCCTTTAGCCTCAAGATTTTGTGTGTTGTTAACACCATTATTTGCCATTTCCTATGATTGTTTTCTAAGAAAAAATAATCAAACACGTTAGTAACAAAAGGCAAAGATCAACTTAATTACAACAACTGTCTAAGCCCCACGGTGGGCACCAAACTATTTATCTGTAAAACGGTGCGGTTGAATTTATACGTGGTTTATAGACAAGTGAATTAACTTGATCCTGAAATAATAGATGAATTGGATAAAATGCAATACTTAACCTTGAAGTGGAAACAAAATAACAGAAACAATAGTTCTGCGAGAAGGGCTTCCGGGTACAACAACAATGAAATTAAGAAGCAATAAGATAAAATTATATTAAGCTTTGAACAGAATGTACTTTATGTTTGCCAGAAAATTCGAATCTCTTATAATGATAATAGAGCTCACTATTTCTAGTTGCACCTAGGGAACAAGGTCCTAGGATCAATCTCTAATTTAATGTAAATTATGAGGGCCATTGAAGAATATGTAACGGCAGGCATGAATGTCAAATTCTTTAGTAACGGACACTGTACTAAATGATGTGGCAGGAACTTATTTCATCTTTATGAGTATCATTCTTTTCGATAACAGACGAAATCATTATCTTCGGTTTCAACCATCTCTATATTGTTTCCACATGTTATTTTCTCATGCGATCATTTATCATAACATATTTTAGCCCACGCAGTGATCAGTACATGAAACTTAGAACTTTGACACAAGGACAATGATTGATGCATTCAGAATCCACAACTATACTTAATGGTGCAACAACTTACGAAATAAAGTTCATCTTTGGACAATCAAGCATAAGATTTTACATTGAAGCATTTTCATTCTGTACCCAAAGTTAGAGATTCTAGAAACACTCATGTGTGCTCAACTAATTTTTACTTTGTGTTGTATCAATGTAAATGTAAATCTACAAGTATTTTCCTTGTTTTCCCCAATTCTAGGGATGACAAGCGGTGCGGTTGCGGGGCGAATCCGCATAAATCCGCGAAGATTTTAACCCGCCTCGCTTCACGTAGCATTTTCACCCGTGTTTACCCGTTCCATACACACCCATGTCCACCCGCCCCGCCCCGCATAAATATTTTATTTTATTTTGTTTGTTTATTTCTATTTTATATTTTAGCTGAAATTTTCAGTTTAATCAACCAAAAATTTGAAAGTTTTTTTGTTGCTTTTGTACTAATTCTTCAATTTAAAAAAAAAAGAATCTGTTGCTCATTGTGAAAAGCAGATGACCCCTTATGTATTAATTTAGTATTCATTATAAAATAGTATTTACATTCCTATAATATTATTTCTAATATTCCTTGATGACTTGTGTATAGCCCAACCTTTGACTTTGATTGTGAAAAGCGGAAAATAGGCACGCAGTAGTTTAGAGTAGAAGGACTTCTTTCCTTGCGTTTTTTCCATATTTAGCAGTTCCATATTAATCGGTTTCATTCCGATCGATCAGTCGAAACCCTCTTCAGTTATTGTGAAATTTCTCAGGGCTCTTCTCTATGAAGAATGCCTCCACGTTCTTCGTCCATACCCGTTCGATGGAGAAAGAACTTCTTTCAGGTGTCCGGTCAAACTTGCTTAGGCCGAGTAAGCAACTGAAGAAATTTCGTATGCAAGTTTTCAGTATTAGAAAGGTCTGGGTGATTGCAGTATATTTTGGCTTATAGTTAGCTCCGCTTAAGGTAGTGAAGTGAGCCATTAGCTCAGATTCCGCATCTAAATCATTAGCTCAGCTGAGGAATCAAGCACCCAATTCGATAAGAGCATCAAATACGAATCACGTCCGAGACGGGAGAAATTGTCAGCCATAAAATGGGAACAACAGCTTAAGCCATTAGGTGTAGGCGCTTTCCAGAGGTGGAATCTTCTAGTTCTTCCTATTTGACCCAAACACGTCTTCCTATTCCATCTTTTCTCGAATCTCCTTTAACGGAAGAAATAGAAGCTCGAGAAGGAATACCATAACCTCAGCGAATGAAATAGGTTTTGGTATTCCTTCTCGTCCTATAATTATAGTAGTAGTAGAACTGGGCGAAGTTGTCTCAATTACATCGATCCTAAACTACGTCCATCCAAGTATTCTTGTCCTTACTCTTTCGATCGAGCACTAGCATCAGTCCTGGCAAAGACCCCTCTTTCATTCGAGCAAAGGAACCACACTGCTGCCGCTGCCCTTCGGGCACGCCTCCTATGCTTATCACTCACCTACGCTCTTGCAGCATGCCCCCTTCGGGCAATACAGTCGCTACCCCCTGGTATGTGCCACTTTCCTAATCAAAAGATAGGAGAGAACCCCTTCTCCCGAAGTTACGTGGTCATTTTGGCTCAACGTGACTCCTCTGGCCTTCTTCTGTCACAAACCAAATATGCTTTAGATTGATTCCGCCGGACCAACATGTTTGGTTTCCACTTCGCGATATTGTGCCAATTCCAGTTTTGAACTACCGGACTATTCGACAACGTGAAGACTGCAATCTCGACTTAGAATAATCAAACGCCCATTACGAGTCACATGGGCACCCCCATCAGGTAAAATAGTTGTGATATCCCCATCAAGATCCAATAATAAAACTAATTTGGTTGAGTCAGCTAAAATTTTTTGACTCTGAAAGAAGTTCAACAGGAAAGTTAAAAAAAAGTCTGCTTTGATCAAAAAATATTAAGCACGGAGTATTATATTTGTCTTTCCGAAACAAAAGTCTATAAAAGACCATAACTTGAAGTTATCATCAAACTTAAAAGAAATAAGAAAAGAAAGAAAAATTACTTAAACCCGCATAAACCTGCATGACCCGCAACCCGCCCCGCCCCGCATCAATTTTTATGAAAAGGTATTTCAATCCGCCCCGCCCCGCCCCGCACCCACATACTGTAACCCACCTTGCCCCGCATAGCTTTAAACTCGCACCGCCTCACACCCACACAGTCCCATTTGCCATCCCTACCCAATTCTCTAGGGATTACCTGTGATTCTCCACTTATCCTTAATGTGGGTCGAAATCTTTACAGCAATAAAAACTGATAAAGAAACAAGTCGAAAAAATAAACTTTAACCAACACAGCACTTCTCTGCTACGTAAAGAGCCAGTAAAAGCACACGAATTGCTAGGACCCATTTGGACATAGTTCCCAAGTAATTTTTAAAATACTTATTTGGATGGAGTTTGATTTGAAACTAAAAATATATTTGGACATAAATTTTGGGGTAAGTTTTGACATGACAAAACATGTCAAATGATCATGATTTGGTCCAAAAAGTGATCTTAAGTTATATTTGGGGTTTGATTTTGGCTACATTTTGGCAAAATAAATTTGGGTTTTATTTCGCAAACATATGTTTGGGCATAAATTTTGGCTACATTTTCGCAAAGTCCCAAAACCAACGCCAAAATATCACTATTACATTTTTTAAAAATTGCCCAAACTTTTATTTTTTATAAAAGAGCCCACCATTTATTATTTTGTAACAATATTTTTTCGTCTTCTTGGTCATCTGATAGTGTATCATGTAGTTCATTATAAAAATGATAATTTTGTACCAAATTTATTTATGTTCAGGACTATAGTTTGCGATAATATAATGAATGTTATTGATAATAGTATTGTTGAGTATTTGTGATAGTTTTTAGAACTTGTGGGTATAAATCATGTTTCATGTTTTTCCAAAATAAATTTGGGAAATATGTTTTGAAAACTGATGTCCAAACACATTTTCATCTTCAAACCAAACTTCACCCAAGTCAAATTTTTTTACACAAATTTGGAAATCTATGGTCAAACGCTAGCGAAGTTTTGTTTTTCAAAATCTCCCAAAAATTAGATTAATTCTATAACAAATACATTTTTTAAAAAAATTAAATAAAACTTATGGCCAAACATCGGGTAAATTTCACAAATGGTCATATAACTATGACCTTTTTCACCAAAGTCATTTAATTTTTTTTTCTCAAAGAAAATTGTGTTTGTATTAGCGGAAAATTATATTTTCCGATTACTTATGATCATTTGTAAAATTTACCCAAAAAAACGGCTACTAAAACTCCACAACTTGCAACTTTCGCATTCGGTCCAAGAACCAAGAGATTTGTTGAACTACTTTCTAACCAAACAATATCTCTTATTGCCTATTCTTTCCCTTTTCTTGGTCTAACCTTTTAATCTTTTACTTTTGACCAAATATTGGTTAAACTTTAAAGTAAAAGATTGTGGAATATCAGATAGATTATTTGTACACAAGCTTAAGAAGATTGATAAAAAGCAAAAGGCAAAGATGCAGAATCAGTAGCATAAAACCACATGAAGTCACCGGCAATGGCAACAGTTATAGTCCAATCGAATATCACTTCAAATCATTTCCCTCTTCTTTTTTTTTTCTTTTTCTTTAATTTAATATTTTTACCAATAATGCAGCTCCATTATTCAGAAGGGTTCTGCATAGAGTGTGAAATGGGAATGGGCACACTGACTAAGACCTTAGGAGTCGTTTGATTCAAAATCAGATTATCCCAATATCATAATCTTGAGATTATAACAAGGATAAATAATCTCACCTTTTATATGTAATAGATAAAATCTCGAAAGTTTGATATAAATTTTTCTCTGATTTTTACTAATACTCACAATCTAATACTGGACAAATTTAATCGCAAAGTTTTTCCTGGGATAACCCTTAGTTCCTATAACCAAACGGCCCCTAGGGTTTTGATTTAGAGTTTTAGTCCCTATCTAGGCAAGNCTTTTGTTCAGTCAGAAGGGGCAACACGAATCTTGCTGACTAATTGGATCATGGAATTATCAGTCACATAGGTAAGAACTAATGCTTCCATATGTTCACTACAATCCGTATTAACTTACTACTTCGGTTTCTTGTTTTGAAAAACTGGATTTATTTCAAATTATTTGATATTTAAAATGATAAGAAGTATTTAATACTCCCTCTGTTTCAATTTATGTGCACCTATTTTTTTTTTGGTCCGTTCCAAAAGAAATGATCCATTTCTAAATTTGGTAGTAACAATTTAGCTTAATCTTACAATTATATAGTTAATGAGAAGCTTTTATAACCACACAAATACTCTGGGCCCCTTTTTAACTTGTTTAGGAACAGTAAATGCCAAAAGTCTTCATTTTTTCTTAAACTCCATGCCCAGTCAAATAGGTTCACATAAATTGGAACGGTGAGAGTAGTACTTAATTCTAATTTTTCAGCTTCATCCTTATTGCCCTAATCAGTGAATTGTTCATTAAGTGAGATATTTAAATGGCAAAATACATAAAGATCCCATTAAGCTTGTCCAAAAAGAGGTTTGAACACTTAAATTAAACGGAAATTTTTTTACTCCCCTATTCTTGTTCGGGGTGAATTAAATGACACTCTAACATTATAATACCAGTCTCACAATATGATGTGCTTTACACATGCCCCACATCATTGCCACATTAGAGCCATGTTAGAGCCACGTCAGAAATTATCTAAATTTTCATTTTTTTAACCTTTTCGTTTCTTTTTGTCTATTCACATTTTTTTCCTTACTCATTATTTAATACACTAATAAATCACTAATTAATTATTAAATTTCTCTTAATTATATTTTTTTTTCATCGAATTCTCATCCATAAATACACTATAAATTTAAATCACCTTCAATCTTGGTTTACTCTCCTCTTCTTTCTTTTTTTTTCCTTTATCTAATTATTTTAATTTTTTATTTCAATATTGAACATCTTCTATGATTTTTTTTGTTCGATTAACCGCAACAGAGAAAATACGAAAAATAATAAATTAATTTCTTAATATTCAGAACAAAGAAAAATTCATTGAATAAAAAATAAAAAGAAAGAAAGAAGATGAGGCAGATGGTGAGAAAGAAAAAACTAAAAGAAAAAGGGAAGAAGAAAGAAGATGAAAGATAGTGGAAAAGGAAAAAAAAGAAAAAAAAAAAAAGAATATGAGTAGCATAACAAAATTTGAACCAAACACGCTTGAGAGCTCTCAAGCTCTAGCGACAGACGATTTTGAGAAGACAAGTGTGAGCAGCTCGCGCGAGGTCGTTCATGGCCATTCTGGCCGGCGACCAGCCCTCTACAATGGCTAGTCTGCCTCCCCAAGCATTCCCCACCATTCCTAACACTACTACACAGTCCAAAACACTACTAGATTACTCCAACATTCTTAAACCTAATACGATTAATGTGAACATGCAAGGCAATGCAGTTGTGAAGGCTACTGCCGATCCAATACCAATGAGACGAGCAGATTTTGTCAATGGGTAGCCATTAGTTACGCTCATTGAAGCAGAAGTTGTTCGCATGAACGTGATAGAAGGTCTTCAATATGCAGTAGTTGGCAAGTTTGCGTATGGATGGCCAGAACTCTCAGAAATTCGTAGGATTGTTCCTGCTCAATGTGGCATTAAGGGAGAGTGCAACATTGGTTATCTGAGGGGCAAACATGTGCTCATTCGTCTGACATTATGTCAAGGCTTCATTGATTTATCGTAAAAGGTACATATTATGTTAAGGACAAAACTTGCATGGAATACCAACTGAGACCTCTTATTTATGATTCAAGATTTAAGGCTGGGGAAGAAACACCTATGGCTATGGCATGGATATCGTTTCCAGGTTTGTTGCCTACTTTTTTTGTCAAGGAATGCTTGTTTTCTCTTGCTTCTGCAGTGGGGAAACCATTACACTTAGATATGGCTATAATCAACAAGATTAGACCTAGTTGTGCAAGGGTTAAAGTTCTTGTGGATTTGTTAGTGGATCACCCTAAGAAAGTGAGGATGGATATCATAAATGAGGCATCTGGAGATAAGGACGGAGTGGGTTAATATTAAATATGACATGATGCCTAAGTATTGCAAGGAGTGTAGACTTCAAGGCCATGATGATTTTGAATGTTGGAGACAACATCCGAAATTAATGGTGCATGATACTGGGAAGCAAGCTGCAGTTGATAAGGTTAATGACAAGGGACAGAGTAAAGAGCCTTTAATAATTCTATCAAGTGGAAAGGTTGTTGGCAATGTTGGTGAGCAACGGAAAGAGGTAAGGGACAATCGTGTGAAAAATGGTGCAAGACAAACTGTGGTGCAAGGTCAAACTAGTAAGGAAATTGTTCTAGTAGATCCTAACAGTGTGCAGCAGGTTCAGAATGTTGAAGGTGATCATCAGACTAATGAGATATCAGGTAGGGAAATTGTTCTAGCTACTGGACATGGTCAGCAAGGCAATGGTAACACAAAAATGGAAATTGTCCTAGCATTAGCAGCTACTGGACATGATCAACAGAATAATTTTAATACAAGAAGGGAAATTGTCCCAGCTGGTGCAGTGACTAATCAGCAAATTCAAGTTGCTAATAAGTTTATTGCTCTAGAGGATCAGGATGGTGAAGATGTGGAAAATAATCAGTTGATGGTGATTGAAGAAAGTACTGAAGCAAGAAGTCCTAATCTAACTGGGACTTTAAATCCTAAGGCAGCTGAATTTACTCCTAAGTCAGTTGGGATTGGGAGTTCAGCCAAGAAAGGAAAAAATTCAAAACGTACTGGGAATGGGAGTGTAGTAGCTAAGGGTGTACAAAAAGAATCTACAGCAGCATGGGTGAATAGAACTTTTGCAGGTAACATTGTTGCAACTAACCAATCATGCCAGGAAATTCCATCCGAGGCAACTGAATTTGATGCATCAGTTAAGGAGTCCAATGTTAATGAAAGACTACAACTTAGTGGAGGGAAATTATGGAGTGCACAAACTGAAGAGGATTCAGAGGAAGGTGAATTACATGAGGGTGCCAGTGGTGAGGAAGAGTCAACAGATGAGGAAAAGGAGGAAGAGGAACAAAGTGTTAATGGCTCTTGCCAACAAAGAACATAGCAAGGCAGATGACAAAGGTGGAAAGACTAGTGAAGTTATAGCTGATCAAAGTGAAGTTGCAGCTGTAGTCAATCATCAGATGAATACAATAACTGGAGATCAACCTGTGCAAAAAATCACCAGTCCTAATCCTAGTAGAGTGTTACCTCCAACTAAGCCTAATATAGGTGCTGGATCTGCAATTTGATTAGGCTTGAAACCAAAGCAAAAAAAAATAAGAAATTGGAAAGATATAGGAGGAGAATTGGAATGCTGCAGGCTTTTTCAAATGTATCTAACAAAATTTGGGTATTTGTGGATGATGACCATGGAGTTGACATAGTGTATGATTTGGAACAACAACTGACTTTGAAGCTCACAAATATGGATACTCAGCTATCATTTATGGTCACCTTTGTATATGCAAAATGTGATTCCATAGAGCGTATTGAGCTGTGGGACAGCTTGTACAATCTGGCTAGTGATATGTCCTTACCTTGGCTTGTGGGAGGGGACTTCAATGTCATATGGGATGAAGAAGAAAAATTTGGAGGGCTTCCTGTTTCTTTGAATGAGATCAATGACTTTAGGCACTGCATTAGCACTTGTAACCTCGGTGATCCAGCCTTTAGAGGTAGCATCTATATGTGGTGGAATAGGAGAGGCGAAGATGACTGTATTTTTAAGAGACTGGATAGATGTCTGGGCAATATAGAGCTGCAACACGTATGGCCTAGCATAGAGGTAACTCACCTGTCCAAAATTGTTCTGATCATAGTCCCATGCTATTGAAATTTAATCCTGATGCTGCCCCAATCAAGAAAACTTTTAAGTTTCTAAATTTTTGGTGTAAGCACTCAACTTTCAAGGATGTGGTGTTACAATATTGGAAGGCAGACTTCGTAGGTGATCCATTCTTTGTGTTCAATCACAAGCTTAAAAAACTGAAGAAAGCATTATCAATATGGAGTAGGGCTACATATGATGACATTTTCCAAAGAATTGCTACTCTTGAGGAAGTGGTTCTAGTTCATGAAGCTCAATTTGAGAGGTTTCCTACGTATCAAAATAGAGAAAGGTTACAAAAAGTGCAAACAGAACTGATTAGATTTCTTGCATTGGAGGAAGAATTTTAGAAGCAAAAGTCTGGAATGTCATGGTTCCAAGATGGAGATAGGAATATAAAATTCTTTCACGCGCAAGTCAATGACAGAAGAAGAAGATTACAACTGAAAAGAGTACATAACTTTGATGGTAATTGGCTAGAGGACAGTAATGATATGGCTGATGAAGCAGTGAGTTTTTCCAAGCTCAGTTCCATGAAGAAATAGTTCCGACATCTTTTGATATTCTTGATCATGTTCCAACACTGGTGAATAATGCCCAGAACTTGGAGTTAGTTCAACAACCTACGAAAGAGGAAGTCAGACATGCAGTATTTGGATTAAATGGTGAAAGTGCAGGGGGTCCTAGTGGCTTTACTGGATGCTTCTTTCAGTTTTGTTGGGATATAATTGGTGATGACATTGTAGACATGGTGAAGGCCTTCTTTAATGGATGTGAACTGCCCAGATATGTGACGCATACTAATCTGGTCTTATTACCAAAGAAGAAAGAAGTGATTACTTTCTCAGATATGAGACTTATTAGCCTTAGCAATTTTGTTAATAAGATGTTTTCTAGAGTTGTGCATGAAAGACTAGCAGTATTGCTTCCAAATCTCATATCTGAAGAGCAAGCTGGTTTTGTAAAGGGAATGAGTATTGTAGAGAATGTTCTCTTAACTCAAGAGATCATTAAAGATATTAGGTTGAGAACCAAAGTTGGGCCAAATGTAGTGACTAAATTGGACATGGCTAAGGCTTATGATCGACTGTCATGGTTGTTCTTAACTAAGTGTTGAGGAAGATGAGCTTTGGTGAAAGGTTTATTGGTTTGGTATATGGGATTGTTTCAAACAACTGGTATTTTGTATTACTTAATGGGCAGCATCATGGGTTCTTTAAATCAACAAGAGGGGTGAAACAAGGTGATCCAATATCACCTACATTATTCATATTGGCTGCAGAAGCATTGTCAAGAGGGCTGAATTCATTGCATAGTAACCTATATTTCTGTGGCTTTAGTCTTCCCAAGTGGATCCCAAAGATTAATCATCCGGCATACGCGGATGATACCATTATATTTTCTTCCTCTGATGCAACATCACTGAGATTGATCATGGAGGTATTAGCAGGTTATGAGAGTGCTTCAGGTTAGCTTATCAACAAGAACAAGTCTACTATATATTTGCATCATTTAGCAGGGGAAGAGATGATGTATAAGGTGCATAGAGTAACAGGTATTGCCAAAACGAAAATCCCATTTACTTACCTTGGCTGCCCTATTTTCTATGCTAGGAGAAGGATGGACTACTACCAAGGACTCATGACTAAGGTAATGGATAAGCTGCGGGATTGGAAAGGGAAATTGTTGTCTATAGGAGGAAGGGCTGTTCTAATTTCTCATGTTCTTCAGAGCATGCCAATACACATGTTGTCTTCAGTCAATCCCCCACCTTATGTGATTAACAAACTGCATAAAATATTTGCTCAGTTTTTTTTGAGCAATACAGTAGGAGTAACAAATAGGCATTGGGCTTCATGGAGCACTCTATATTTGCCTTGTGAAGAAGGGGGTGTTGGATTTATATCTTTATATGATGTTTCCACAACTTTGTTTTGTAAACTGTGGTGGAACTTTAGAACTAAACCTAGCCTATGAAGTTCTTTCATGAGTCAGAAGTACTGCAAAAAATTGAACCCTATAATTGTTCCTTGGAGAGATGGCTCTCATGTTTGGAGAAAGATGTTGGAATGTAGGGATCTCATAGAGCATCAAATAATATGGCAGCCTAAGATGGGGTCTTCACTATTCTGGTTTGAAAATTGGGCAGGTTTGGGAGCACTCTATTTTGTTACTCCTCCTGATTTTGTGTGGGATGAATCCATACAAAACATATATGATGTGGTGGACAATGGTGAATGAGATGAGGGAAAGATTAGAGAAATACTTCCAGATGAATTAGCAAATCACATTATACAACATCTGAAGCCTACAGTCGTGCATGATGTAATTGGCAAACCATTTTGGATGCTGAAATCAAGGGGTGAGTTCAGTGTGAAATCAGCTTGGGAATATTTAAGAAGGAGGAATGTCACGACCCGAATTTCCCACCCTCGGGAATCGTGATAGTGCCTACTAATGAGAGCTAGGAAAGCCAATCCTTAACTACTTACTTCATTATCAAAATTACTTCTTCTTAACAAATATAAGGTGATAACATGAAAATAGTGGAACTTTAAGTAATTAAGCGGAAGATAACAATTAAATGTCTAAAATCTGCATCTATTACAAATACTTAAGTCTTAACCACCCAAAACCTGGTGTGACAGTGTCACAGACGGTCTAAGATTTACTACATACAAAGTCTGAAGAAATAATAATACACTGTTCCGGAATATAAGGAAAATGAAACAGGAAAATAAGAATAGAGGGAGACGCTAGGGCCTGCGGACGCCTGCAGGTCTAGCTTGGATCTCCGCATAGACTAAAGGTAGCCTCCACACTACGGTCCAAAAGCTGCTCCGGAATCTGCATATAGTGCATAGTAGTATCAGCACAACCGACCCCATGTGCTAGTAAGTGCCTAGCCTAACCTCGGCGAGGTAGTGACAAGGCTAGGACCAGACTACCAAATAAACCTGTGCAATTTAACTATATACAGCAGAAAAGAAGTACTGAAAGAAGCAGTCATATACAGTCAAGTATGGGAGGGGGAAAAACATGCTGTGGAAAACATCGAATAATAACAGAAGAGCAACAAATAAATATGAGGATCACCAAAGTTCAATTGAAAATAGGAAGGGGAAATCATGTTGCGGGGTACAACAAGTATCAACAGGAAACCAACAATTTAGTGTAGAGAAACCGTAACACAGTTATCAATAAAAATTAGAAAATCAAAGACAAATGCACGACATCACCCTTCGTGCTTTTACTCTCTCTCACCAAAACAATACACGGCATCACCATTCGTGCTTTAACACTCTCTCACCAAAATAATACACGGCATCACCCTTTGTGCTTTACGCTCTTCCTCACCCAAACAACAATCACAAGGAAAATAGGGTAAGGGAATCTATAACCTCGAAATAAAACCAAATAACAACAGAAAATCAGTAAATAAACATAAACGACAACATAACTCAATTATCAGCAAGAATCAAGGAAATCAAGGACAAGTGTACGACATCACCCTTCGTGCTTTTACTCTCCCTCACCATAAGAATCAATACAATAGGCACGGAATGGTATATCATGTGGCACGGCATCACCCTTTGTGCTTTACACTCTTTCCTCACCATGAAATCAATATAATAGGCACATAATGGTACATCGTGCGGCACGACATCACCCTTCGTGCTTTACACTCTTTCCTCACAAAACAAACAATGCACGACATCACCCTTCGTGCTTTAACTCTCTTCCTCACCCAAATAACAATCACAAATAATAGGACAAGGAAATAAAGGAAATTTGCAATAAGAATCCCGGCAAGAGAGCAACAAGTCAACAATTAAATCCCGACAAGGGAACAACATCAATAACATCCACATCCTGGCAAGGGAAATAACAAATAAATCAACAATAGCTCGGCAAGGGTGACAACATAATGATATCTTCTCTTTCTCACTTTTAATTCACAATTCACTTCACAACTCGAGCCAATGCTCTAGAGGTTAAATTATCACTTATACCTTCACAACTCATTTCATAACTCAAGCCAATGCTCTAAAAGTTCAATTGTCACTTATACTTTCACAATTCGTTATACAACTTTAGCCAATGCTCCTCAATGTTCATAGGTCACAATTCTTTCCACAAACTTTATACAACAATTAGAAACCATCACCAAGGCATGAAAGATACAACGAATTCATGATAATCACAATATAAAGACTCATAGGCATGCTAGATACCAACGTATAGATACTCATCACCATGCCTATACATCATACTCAACAATTACCGCATAGAAAATAGGACTCAACTCCTAATCCCTCAAGCTAAGGTTAGACCAAACACTTACCTCGAACTTCCACGGCCAACTCAAGCCTCAAACACCGCCTTTCCTTTCTAATTTGGCTCCAAAACAATCGTATCTATACATAATCGACTTAATAACATCAATAAATGCTAAACAATCCAATTTCAATTCTTAATTATAGCTTTCCAATCATTTTTCCCAAAAAACTAAAAATTAACCCCGGGCCCGCTTGGTCAAAACACGAGGTTCGGACCAAAACCCGATCACCCATTCACACACGAGCCCAAATATGCAATTAGTTTCGAAATTCGACCTCAAAACGAGGTCTAAATTCCAATTATTCAAAAAGCCCTAACACTACCCAAATTCCCAATTTCTACCATAAAAACCCTAGATTTTTGGATGAAAATTTATGAAATGCAATGGGAAATTGAAATGAAAAGGTTTAGAATCACGTATCAATGCTTTGGGGAAGAACTTGTTCCTAGAAAATCGCCTCAGTGCTCTCTAGTTTTGAAAATATGGGCTATATCCCGACTTAGCTATTGTTTTAAGTGCTGGGTGATAGTGTTCATCACATTCGCGAGAACACTGTCGCGATCGCAAAGAGCTGCCAGTAAGTGGACTTACGTGATCGCGATTTCCTCTACGTGTTCGCGAAGGGTAAGCCTCCCTGACCATTGCATTCGCGGACAACATTACGAGTTCGCGTAGAAGGAAAGACAAGTCCGCAGTCCACCTCTAGTTTACACTACGCGTTTGCGTCACACAGGTTGCGTTCGCGATGAGCAACCCCCCAGTGCTCTGATGGAGTAGTATTTTGATTTACTTTTAGTGGAGCAATTGTAGAAAAGTCTAGGAAGACCGTTGATAGTATCAGCATCTGAAATATTTGGATCTCCTCCAGTTTGAAGGGCTTGATTGATATTTGTCTCTGTCTTTTCATTCCACTATTCACCTATAATCCAAACACAAGGACACGTAAAATTTTATTATCCTAATCATCAACCAATCCAGTACCCACCAACCGCTACTTATCACACTCCCCAGAACACACCACAACCCATTTCCGATCCTCAAAACTCAACCAATGACCACCACTACACCCAAGTTCCTGGCACTCACCAAAACAACCCTATATATGTGGAAACCGTACCTCACTCTACTCAACCTACCTCCTATACACCAGAATCCGCTGAAAAGGACCTGCTCATCAAGAATATGGCTGAGGAACTCAAGAAATTGACAAGTCGGGTTCAGGGTGTCGAAGGAGGCAAAGGGATAGAAGGTTTGAATTATGAGGACCTATGCATACAGCCGGATGTAAAACTGCCAAAGGGTTACAAACCTCCCAAGTTCTAGATATTTGATGGCACAGGTGATCCCAGGGTTCATCTAAGGACCTATTGTGACAAACTCATCGGGGTTAGAAAGGATGAAAAGATCTGGATGAAGCTTTTGATGAGGAGTCTTACAGGAGATGCTTTGTCCTGGTATTGTAAGGCCCCGTGAATTTCCTACCCAGAACCCCGAATCACGTGGTGCCAAGTTAGGAGCTGTGCATTAAAAAAGTCAAGAAATAATATTTTCCAGAGAAGTGCGATTTTGCGGTCGAGAATGCGGTCGCATATCAGGTATGCAGACCGCATAGGGGCATAGTCACCGCAAAGTGAGTCAATGTGTTAGTCAAATTTGAGGTTAAATATGCGGTCCATTATGAGATCGCATAACCGATATGTGGACCGCATAGTCGTCGCATAATTTCCTTGGGATTTTGTAAGGAGCAGTTCTGCGGTGCATTATGCGATCGTAGAACGGGTATGCGGACCGCATTTTTGCCGCATACCCAGACAGAATGTTCAAATTTTGGGAGCACTAGAGAGAGAGAGAGAGAGAGAGAGAGAGGGTCTTATAGAGGGAAGTGCTTCCCATCAAATTACTCCATGAAACCTTGCCAAATCTTTGAAGATAATCAAGCGAGGGCACCTAAATCTTCATCCTAAGAGGTAAGACTTCATTACCTCAGCTCTTATTCCTATGCTTAGCAATAAGGGATCGCTAGTGAAGTAATTCATGTGTATAAGAATGAATTTCTTGCATGCATATCACACCATAGAATATTGGGAGGTAGTAGACTAAAAAGAAAGCAGTTGGGGTATTAAATGATAGAAATTTCTCTCAAAAGGGCCTAAGATCACAATGCACCTTTAGTGTTTGATAGTATGCTCAAAACAAGCTAGAATCTCAATCTCGTCTCTAATTCTCGGTTTAATTTGTAATTCTTACACAATACATCGAAGTGCTAAAAGTTCCGGAATTTTGTAAGGAATAAGGAAAGCTTTATTGAGGAATGTATGGATAAAACCCCGTCTTTTAGAAATTGAGCTTCATCATTGGTTGTGTGAGTACGGTAAGATTAATTAAATTGTTGTATTGATTGATATTTCACTTGACTTGGTGTTGCAACCTTATATGCATGGAAACTGTGTCTAAATTTATCAACGTGCTATTCTTGATAATTTGAAAATGTGCAAGGACTATGAATCATGTATCGAAATGCTTAGACGTTAGATTGAAATTGAAGTGCGTTGTTGTGCCATTTACATAAAGTCTCATCTACGCCTACAACCTTATTTGCTCTTTTGTGCCATACTCTCTTGGATTACAAACCTAATGTTGAAAATGGGAACAATGTGAAACGTGAATTGTGGAATGTGAAAATTGTGGCCCCAAGTGCCGGTAAGCTAATACATGGGTAACCAAAGATTGGAGTGAGGTGAATAATGGAAAATGGTAACGCCTCAGTAAGACGGCCTAGCCGATCGGGCCGTGATCAGACAACATGACATATACACATGGCGGTTATGCATTGATGATTGAAACTGGAAAGTGTGAATAGAATATTGGTAACGTCTCCGGGAGACGGCCTAGCCGATCG